TTAATGTTTAATTTTACAGTATTCGACTCGTACATTTTTACAAGTTGCACAATCAAATCATGAACCTTTAGCGATGATATCTCAGCAGACTGCAACAATTGTTCGATGTCGGCACGTCTCTCGATAAACGCTTTCCAAGTAGCATAAGGCAGAACTATCTGATTTCCTCGGTTGTCACCAATAAGCAGCTCTACAGAGGACACAGGTCCCACGGTAATTCCAATATCCAGATATTTGAAAGCTGTTGATGTCAGTGCAAACCTCCTTCCCAATATACGAGGCGTGTACCGAGGTCTCATGGTATGAGATGAAGTACTGTAAAAAGAATATGTCTAAATAACCGAGCTGTAGAAGAAATATTTTTGAAATAAAAAAATTATAGATACTTACGGTCTCTCACACGATTTATCCTCTGGAATCGGAACGTAGTAATTCATGCTTTCCTCGTACATTTGATCTTGCTGTTCACCGATCGACTGTTGCAGTGAGTCTCTATCCGAGCCCCTTTTAACTTGTCTCCCCCTCCTTTTCTTTCTCCACCATTTTAATTAAATAAAGTTTTAAATACCACACAGACGAATGCTCTCATTGTGCCAGTCCCATCCCCTAATCTCCTCATCAATTTCCATCGCATTCATCATGCATACAATACCAGTGGTAATGCGAATGTATGGAGCACCAAATTAACCTTCCACAACCATTATTTTTAGCAAGTATGTTTTTAAAACCGATTTCGCGATTCCGAATAAGACGTGCAACCGGTGGAATACAAGATTTATTCGCGTTCATTTTCACAGAGCGACTACGCCTAGAAAGTCAACCGAGATTCTCCTTTGCATTTTTTCTGGCGGAGGGTCCTCTATTTGTACAGAAAAAAATTAGAGTATGGAAAATTCTAGTGAGACTTAATGACATCGAAAAATTCTTCAAAAAGTATATCTGAGAAGAATGCATAAATCACCTTACAATATCCTGAAACGTTTATTATCAAGGAATACTCTTAAAATCAAAAAGAATGTGTCTAGACGCATTATTCTCAAAACGCATTTCAATGCGTCAAAATCTTACAGAAATGCGAGAGAAAGGAATGTTATCTTTACGATCTCATTTTCAAAATCTTATAGAAATGCGAGAAAAAGGAATGTTATCTTTACGCTCTCATTTTCAAAGGTATCTGCATACCTGCCTAATCAAGGATTATACACAGTTTCGACTAAAACTCATTCGTCTCGCAATAAAAATAAGTCATATTTCAAAATGCTAGCAACCCTTAGTAGGGTATAAAACGAAGAGACTGACAGTACATTCTGTTAGTAGTAGAGTTGAAAGTTCAGAGTGAATTCTCGCGAAAAGTCCAGTGATCGTAAAAGAATATGGAACGTGAATTAGAGGAACAAGCCATCCGGCTGAATACGCGAGAAGATTTTATCGCGTGGGAACAGCGTGTCGACGAGTTCATCGAATCGCTCGAAGAACAAAGTCGAAATAAACGTCCACGATTATCGATTGGCGCACAACAA